GGGCGGCCCGCCGCGCTGGCCAATGGCTGCGCGGCCCCCACGGCCGGCGGCGCAGGGCGGGGCGCGCCTGACAGCTTCTCCGCCCCCCGCGTCAGCTGACTCGCAGCCAGAGCAGCCCTGGAGCCGCCGAGGCCTGGCCAAGGGCTGGAGCCGAGTGGGACGGCCGGCCGGGGTGCAGCCCCCTCGCCCTCCGGGTCCCGGCCTCCGCGTGCTGGACTCCCGTGCGCCCCACCGCGAGACTGGGTCAACGCTTCCACCCCCTAGCACGCTCTCCTCCCCCTTTACCCTTTGGGCTCCAAGTCCATGTCACCCCCAAGGAGGCTCAGAACGAGTGCCAGGACGACTCCTCCTGGGCCCTTTGTTCCCAAGAGGCACCCGCCCCATGGGGGACGCTCAGTGTGTCCGCCCTGTTGTGGGCCGTGTGTGTGCTGCGCGTGCCTGCGTTTCTGGAGGTCTGCGAATATTTGTGTGTTGGGAGGCGGGGGGCGGGGCGGTGGTTCGGGTTCCAAGAGTTGTATTCAGATCCAACTCTTGGCCTCAGGGGACCCTTTTCGGGCCAAGCGGAGTCCCCTCCAGGCATATGCGGTGTCCGAACCCCGAAATGAAACTCCACCGGCCCCGACGCGTCCGGCGCTCACCCCACCCCAAATGCTCACGATGAAGGGAGCGGCTAGACAATTGGCCAGAAGGCTCTGAATCTTTTCTCCTACCAGACGCTCGGTACTCTGCGCGCTCCAAGGCTTGGGGCCGGCCGAGGCCACCCCGGGACGAGACTCCGGATAGCTCTCCGCTGCCCCAGAACCGGCCCTGTTTTTGTTTGAACGTTTTGTAACGATTAAGCAGATGCGGGCGTTAGCCTGCCGCGGAGAGGCTCAAACAGGCATAAAGCGCGACCCCAAGCGGCCACTGTGCGCAAAGGCGCGCTGAGCCTCCGAACCCAATGTGGGAGGCTTGGACCGCGCTCGGGACTCAACCTGGTCTAGCCAACAGGCTCAACCCTAGCCAACCCAGAACACAGGTTGTGTATGCACCGGAGCCCAGGAAATGTTCCTCTCGGACAACGCACAGGCCCCCCGGTCCCGTCCTCGGACTCAGCCGCGAGCCCTGCCCTGGTGGCCACCCTGAAACTCCGCGCCCCAGCCCTCACGCCCCAGCCCTCGGGGGTTGCCCGCTGCCTGTTCCCGGTGCAGGAAGGTCCTGGGCTGGGGAGGACTCGTGGCTGAAAGCCGAAACGGCGTGGGGGCCTACGGCCCCAAAGCTATCCGGAGCGCAGACAGGGAGTCCAGAGCGCGACGCGCTAGACATCAAGACAGGACGCTGCCCACCCTCCCAACTCAGGTCCAGGATAGTCCTGAATAAGGAGTTCTTCCGGAGACCCCGGCCCGGGCTCTGAAACCGGAAAAATTGCGAATTCGCTGGACGAGGAGGCCCGACCTGCCTCTCACGTCGCCTTCTGCTCTCCAGCTTTGGGTGCGTGCAGCGAAAAGCAGGGGAAGCGCGCATTAGGTGAGTGTGTCCTGGCTGCTGCTGGCGCGGGGCCAGCACGACCGACGCCGCGTGTAGGGAGCAAGTGAGAGACACCAATGCGGACGCGGCCAGTTTTTTTTTTTTTTTTTAAGTGTTAGAAGGTAAAATATCCGCCTCCAATTAATCTGAAAACCCGCTCTGTTCTCTTGCGCCCTCGGGGCGACTGGGCTGGGGCGTGGTCTGGGACCCCCTGTTTTTAATAAAATGAATATATTTTAAGTAAAACTTGGACTGAAAGATTTGAATTAGCAACTAATGCTGGGAGAGCGGGTTTTCAACCCTCTTCGAAACGGGTGCTCTCCGCAGAAACAATTCTTCGGCTTCCAGGTAGAGCCTGGGCCAGGCCGCTGCTCCGCCCGGGCCCGAAGCTGGGCGCTAGAGACATGCATCCTCCCAGCGAGTATCCCAGTCGCGTTCGCACGGGGTGAGCGCACACTCGGACCGTGGCTCAGCCGAGAGCGTCTCGAGGACGCGCTGGGCCGGCCGCCTCGGGTCTTGCAGACTCTGGCTCAGCGGAGACAGCCGGCGCCGGAGAAAAGTGCGGGGCTCTCTAGGAGCCCCCAGAACCGGGGCGGGCAGCGCTCTCCATCTGGGCCCTCCGAGGGCGCGCCAGATGGCCCTAACCTGCTGCGTACGCACGGAAGCGCCTGGGCAGGGCAGTGTCCCCCGCATGTCGCCTCGGAGCTTCCTGACCCTCGCCGTCGAAGGCCCTGACTGTTAAGAGTGTGACCTGTCGAGGCCCTGGGAGTTCCTGCGGCCCCAGCTCTGGGCTCCAAACGTCCAACTCTCCCGTGAGCGTCCTGCCTCGGTCTCAGTGTCTCTAAGACTCGGGCTTTGTTTGGGCAGGCGCGCTCCTCTTCGTCCCCCGAACCTCTGCCTCTGTTGTGGTCATTCACTTCCCCTGTACTCTAACTGGGATTCCTCTACCTCTAGGTTTTCCCCCAAACCCTTTCTTTGTTGCTCCCTCAGCCTAGCCACTCCCTCCTCTCCCCCTGCCCCGCCATGAAATGTTGGAAGGAGACCCTACCCTGCAAGGCCCGTCGACACGCAGGTCGCTCTGGCGTGGAGGCCCTGCAGGGCAGCCGACCCCATCTCGAGTCCCTGCCTCCCCCAGCCCCGGCTCCTGCTGTGCTCAGCCAAGGGTTTTGGCACCCCAAACCCTGTGGCCTCCGGCTCCCGACAGCCACCGCGGGCTGCCACCTCTCCCTGTCTGGGGGCTCTGGGTCAGTGAGCCAGGCACCCGGTCCACGGGTGGACAACCTTGCCAGAGGGCTGCACCACATTCCTACAAGGAAGGCGGAGTCGAGGGGAGGGAGGAGGACAGACAGAGGGGATGGTGGGCGAAGAGGAGAATCAGAAGAAGTAAAAAGAGTTAAGGGAAAGAGGCATGAGAAACAGGAGCCCCGTCGGAGGGGAAGCGAAGGGAGTCTGGTGGCGGCAAGAGTCCCTTTATTGAACAAGGTTTGTTGTCTTTAGCCTTTGAAACTCCAATTGCAGGTTTTCGTTCAAAGGCAACTCCCTCTCCCCCACCCAAGGGCCAGAGGCGATGCTTCCTGGGCGCATCACTTTGGGGTTCTTTAGCTACAGACGGTGATCGAGGGGGTGATCCAGGAGGTTCTTCGGCGGTCCAAGCCTCCGCGGAGCCCCAGGACGTTCAGGGGGAGGGTAAGTTACTCCCTAGGGGAGCACTGGGCCCAAGGCTGGACTCCAGGTATGAGGTTCGCCGCGCCTCTCCCACCATCCCCTGCCCAGCCCTCCGCGTTCGCCTCAGCCCAGGACTGCGTTCCCGGTAGCCTCGTCTGTCCCTAAAGTGTGCCGCAGACGCGTCGCTTCCCTGAAGGCTGCCAGTGCTTGGTGCGCGAGCTGGGGTCTCTGTGTGCGCGTGGATGCAGCAGGTGGGAGCATGTGGGAGGTGAGTGTGTTTGTGTCTGTGTGTGTGTGTGTGCGCGCGCGCGCGCGCGCGTGTATTGGGTAGGGAAGCGCATCACCCGGGATACCGAATCGCAGAGCCTGCAACTCCCGGCCTCAGAACCCCGTGCTTTGCAGGATTGTCCTTTCCCGGGTGGGTCTCCAAGCAGAGACTGGTGGTCCCAAGGGCCACAGGGCCTATTTCTGCCAGGGAGTGGCCTGAGTCAAGGGGGCTCCCAGGTGCCCCCTTTCAGCGTTTGCGTCACCCAGATGTAGAACCACCTGTTTCCTTCAAGGAGCCCTGAAGTCTCTGCCACCTTTGCAGATACCCAGTAAGAGGATTCTCCTCTCCCACCCCTAAGGAGCCTCCCTAGGCCTGTGGCTGCCTAGGAAGAAGCGGGAGGTTTTTCTGCCCTTCCTCCTCCTTCCCAAAGGCAGCTGTCACTTCCACTCTCCTCTGCCCCACACAAGGGCCATCCGATTCCAACCTATATCTCCGAGGAGCTCTTCTTAAATGTCTGGCTCCCCCTCGGTGGCATTTAAGCAGCCAAGGCCTCACCTCGGCAGTTTCCAGTGGGTTACTAGAGTCACCCTGGCTCTGCAGAACCGTCAGCCTGGCTGCCTCCCCTGGGTACCAGCACCTGCCACCCCCAAACACACACACACTTGGGAGAGGCAATTTAATATTAAAACTTATTTCACCTTTTTCTTTTTAATTGTTTTAGTGTGGCTACTAGAAAATTTAAAATTATATATATGGCTCACATTCTAGTTTTATTGGACATCACTGAACTAGACTACCAGTGGGCAGTGCTGCCCCCAATATAGATGAGATACTTGGTAACAATATTCTTTCCCATTTGTACAGGGATTTTCAAAGCTTTTAGCCATTCATGTTCTCATTCAATCCTCACAACACTAAAAAGTAGCAACTATTATTTTGCAAAGATAGATACATAGGTAGGTAGGTAAGGAGGGAGGGAGATAAGAACGGATGGCAATGATCTAAGAGTTTTATGCATATCAACCCATTCAATCCTCACAACTGCCCTTTGAGGTGGGCAGTATCATCGCCATTTTACA